AATTAGGCATTGAGAAGTTTGTATCTCTAAAAGATATTAAGAATGCAAAATATCCTGAAGGAACAAAATTCATGCTAATATTCGCTGGTAATGATTTTGATGTAACAGAGGACTACAGAAGACTAAAAAGTCTTCTTATTGATTTCTTCAGGGGCCTCACAGTATCAAATATCTGCCTAGCTGGATTTGAGTATGTTCTGTACTTCACCGCAATGAATGGGAAGATTTACCTGCAAAGTTATAAGTTGCTATTGAAGAAATCTGGTTGCAGAACACCACAATTTAGTTGGAAGAGATGGGACCATTACTGGATCTGGTTCTCAAGAGGACACACCTGGCGTCAGATGACCTCTATAGTTATTTATGAAAATGCCAAAAGCTCTCAAGCCAAAGAAGAAGAATGTCTCTCATGACACTTTCGGTACAACTTACAGAAGGATTCACATGCAGAAGCAAGAACTGAGCAAACTGCAAACCACACAGATGAAGGGGTTGAAGAAACAGCCTGCAGAAATACCAGAAGACCAGGAGAAAAGATCAAAGAGAATTTTTAAAAAATTGATGGAACTTAGCTGACAACTACAGTTTTATTGTTTTCTACTTACTTAAGACAACATCAAGCTTTAGTCCAGAGTCTTATAAGATTTTATTGTATAGAGAACCAGTAGTTAGTGTAATGGTTATGTCGCTGGACTCCCACGTAGTCGACCGCGGTTCACGTCTAGGACCCGGTGGCTTAAAGCTCACGCCGGGCGCGTGTGCGTGTGTGCCCAAGATCCCAAGAGGAGAATGGAGGAGAAGGGATTGCGGCGTGACCATCCCCCCTGGGGGGTGACTTCTCGCTTTCTGTCTCTATGTCTCTCTGTCTGGCGAGCGCACATGCGCTATAGCAAAAAACTTCTCCAAAAAAAAAGAAAGAAAAAAAAAAGAAAAAGATTTTATTGTATATTTTTTTAAAAACATAACTTACGGGGCCAGCAGGTGGCATGGTAGTTAAGGATGCTGGACTCCCACATGGCTGGCATGGTTCGAGTCCCAGACCTGATGGCTTGCTTTCTCACGATCCTTCTTTCTCTCGCTCTCACTCTGTACCTCTCTGGTCAAATGAAAATAAGCAAATAAATAAATAAAGTTAAATAAAAAGTATTTAAAAAAAAACATAACTTACTATATGTTATCATGAACAATAATGTCCCGTATTAAGTTTAAGATAAGCCTCTTAATTGAAATATTAAAAAAATATATCTATAGCATTTCTATATACAACCAACAAGCACAGAGACAGAACTGAAGAAGATAATCCATTTACCATAGCCACAAGAAGTACTAAATACTGGGAACCAGCAGTTAGCGTAATGGCTATGTCACTGGACTCCCACGTAATCAACCGCGG